CCATTTGCATGCAGCAGTCCTGATTTATCCAAGAAGGTATTGAGAGTACAGAGAGGATCTGTCGAACATTTTGATTCCAATGCTGTGATGATATTTCCGCTAGGTGACAGCGAAGAGGCAAGTTTTTGCGAAATTTATGTCGCTTTGAGTGAGAGTGTACGACGCGAAATATGTACGCTGTTACTCTAAGAGCAAGAATGAGTAACTGCTATGGAAGTCTGGGTCTTCTGAAGCGTGGAATGCTTCAATTTATCGTTGTTCGGGAGGAGACGAATGAGTTGGTGAACTTTTCGGCCAAAGAGAGGATGGCCTAGTTTACCTTTCGGGGCCTTCCACCAAAGTGAACAGTAGACGAGCTCTTGGGGTTTAGCTACATGGGTACCGAGATCATCTGCGTTTTCAGCGCTGAAGACATGTCGCCACGTAGAATTGTTGATGAGTTCCTGGATCTGATATTTCCTGTTCGCTATATAAATTTTCCATGCCCTTGAGGGTTTTCCGAGCCACGCTAATACAATTGAAGAGTTTGTCCACGGAATTAGTTCATGAGATGGCAGATTTAGAGAAGATCGGATCTGTTTTACTAATTTTGCTAGCAAAGTTCCAGTCTAGGGAGAGAGACGGTTTGAAAGGGGGCTACTTTACTCTTGGCTGCTAGCATCACCTTGCTAAACACGTAATATACGCGAGTGCAGAAAGCATTCTCGGAAGCATCTGAGAACTCGTGTAGCTGAATGGAACTGTTTGAGCTGAATTGCACCCACCGAGGCATACTTATCTCTTACTAGACGAGACGAGATTTCATTTGTGGAGTGAGATCGGCTTCACGGTTTCATCCCAGTCTGTTCCTCCCATCCATAGCTTTTGGAGAAGAGTTTTCGCTGCTATCATTATGGGCGATAGCCATCCTGCCGGGTCGATCTGTTGTTTCGTGGCAGTCTGAGGATAATGGAGGGTCAACTGAGTTCAAAAATGTATTAGTGAGAGCATTCCCTTTTTTCCAAGGGTTTTTTGTAGAGCTTGCCTCTTGAAATTGGAGAAATTCTTCATCTAAATGATCATGCCTTTCAGCAGTGACTTGTGGTTTGCTGTGATCTTTTTTAAAGGGAGTCTGGCTGAATTGATTACTTCGATAACTTGATGTATAGATTCGCTGGCTGAGTCTAGATTGTGTCCGCCTGAGAGGATGTCAATTACGTATGTCTCTCCTCTTAATATTTTTGATACGTGGGGGTATGTCTCCTTAATGTCCTCGGCTGATTGTTGGAGTGTCCTTAATACCAAGTATAGAGCGCAGTTGACACCGAATGTTACAGCTTTTAGTTTAAAGTCTTCTATCGGACTATTGGGGGTTCTACGGAAAGAACGCGTTGGAAGTTTTCGTATTCCTTATGGACGTTGTCATAGTTTAGCGAAATATGTTTTGCCATTAGTTTAAGTTTATTGTTAATTTAACTCTGGTAGCTCTGTAATAGTTTAAGATTTTTGTAACTGAATAAAATTGCAACGCTGTGTTCCATTCCCGGTTTGCTATTTGTTGATCCGTTAATCGAATTGCCATATAAATTTGGGCAACGGTTCTGGTCGATCATATTATTTATATCACCAAGGCAAACCGGGAGTGAAAATGCTGTAAATTAAACTTGTGCAAACGCACATGTTAAAATCAGAATCCCGGTGTCGTGATATGCTTTAATTTTCAGTCTTTAAATTTGTATTTTATCGTCCGTTTGTTTGCTCGACGCCAAGTGTTAACGTTAATTTGTCGCCATTTCGTTCGATCGTTGTGCCAGTTGCCGGCAGACATTTATTCGTCAGCGAAAGACGCCATTTTCCATAAAATAGCTTTCGTTTAGCCGTCAAGTAATTAGCAACTTAGAATGCAGCGTTCTCCCATGCGTCGGAGCAAACGAAATCAGTCAGAGTGTCCAGAGCCTGCCAGCCAGTCATCATACAGTACAGCGAAGATTGCCGCCACGTCCGCTAAAGCTAGAGGACAGCCAAGCGCCTTGCCATGCAGAACGCCAGTCAGTATTCCAGAGTTCAGCATGTCGCATTCTACCACTCCGCCGCCTGTCGCCACTTCATCAAGCGCTCCAATGCCCAATACAGAGCCAGCCAGCCAGTCATCAACAAGCTTCACTCCGATTGTTCCTGCATCTATTTCATCGCCAGCCAACGCATCATATAGCGCTCCAATGTCCAGCAATACGATACACAGAGACTTGCAACGAAGCATTCAGCATTATGCCCAAAAGCGGGGTCATCTAGTGCTACACTAGCTAGCGGTATGCAGTTAGATACGCCCGATAGGACTCACGGGGTAAGCGAATTCACTTCACATCCCATACATGCTAGTATAAACTCAGGCAGCTCCGCCTTAGTCGGCGCCTCTGCCAACGTCAGCCTCGCCAGTGGTGAATTCGCTTCTGCAAACGCAACAACAACAATCATGCCAACTGCCACTGTAAATGCCTCAGCTCCGTCTAATATGGACATGCTTTATAAGATGCAGCAGCAAATAAGCATGTTAGAACAACAACTCAAATATGCTCAGGCCCACATATCTGAAAGCTAACGACATAGCCTTGTAACCGTACCGCCTCAGTCGACGCCTCCTGTAACGTCGGTCACCCATCCGACGTATATTTATGGGCTTGCCAACAGCGGCATACCAGCTTTGCCACATGAGCTTATTACCACCTTTGTAGTCACCCAACCATATCAGCTCAATATAGTCGTCCCATCATTCCACCAAACACGCATCCAACGCCTCAAAGAACATTGGAACTAGGGTCGTCCGATATGTCTGGCAATAGGGCATCCGTGCATTCACCAGTATTAAGTCGAGTTGTCAACCCATCACTGAGTAACACTGTACCCTTTCCAAAAAAGGTAATTGATTTACCAGAGTTTTCAGGGCAGCCAGAAGATTGGCCAGTATTTTATGTGTCATTTGTGGAATCAACGGCGGTTTATAATTATTCAAACTTTGAAAACAACCAGAGGTTAAATAAATGTTTTAAGGGTGAGGAAAAGGATACCGCCAAATCCTTACTCATTCACCCAAGTAATGTAAATGCGGTAATTGAACAGCTGCGCTTTCGGTTTGGTCGTCCAGAACAGCTCATACGTAGTCAACTTAAAGTAGTGCGCGATTTACCATGGATTTCGGAAGTTGCCATCCACAGATTGGTCACGTTTGCAACAGTTGTCAAAAACCTCACTGTGTTTCTACAATCCATCGGTGAAGAGAAACATCTGGTTAATCCAACATTGTTAGAGGAGCTGGTTGCCAAGCTACCAATGAGCAAACGCCTGGATTGGGCGAGGTATTTCGTAGCGATTCGACCCTATCCAACAATTGTTAACTTAAGCGAGTGGCTGTCTGAGATCGCCAGTTTTGTCCAGATGGTTCAAGATCAAGAAGGTCGAGAAGTAAAACGTCGTCCAGTGTTACATGCAGCTGAAGAACAACGCTCATTTAAATGCGTATTATGCCAAGGGAATCATCGAGTTGCAGATTGTCGCCGCCTGTCTGATGCCAACGTCTCGGATCGATGGAACAGTGGTTCGGAGGAACGGCAGCGCAAGAACAAGTGGCCGTAACTAATCTTTTTATCAGTGGTCTGGAAATGAAAAAGCGCCATATGATTCGCAACGTCCATGGTATAGCCAACTTAAACCTACCCATGCAAAGTCTCAGTCAAGGGGATACAATGCCGTCAGATATTAACATAAACTATCAGTACAGCCGTATGAAAACGTAACGCCTAAGGTTTTAATTGGCCTAGACCATTGCCATCTGGGATTGCCAACCAAGCCGATATTAACCAATCGTGACGGACCGTTTGCCACAATAACTAAATTGGGGGTCTGGGTGTTCGGGCCATAAAGCTGTTTGCAGTTGAAGAAGCCATCCTGTTTTCACGTCAGTACTTCAGAAAGCCGGATGCATAACCTGATAGAGAACTACTTCGCAGTAGAGTCGTTCGGTGTGCGTGCTTTGCCACCTATTGAGAGTGTAGCTGACATACGTGCTAAGAAGCTGCTTGAGTCAACAACAGTGAAAGTGAATGGATGATTTCAAACAGGATTACTGTGAAGGAGTGACAACGTTCAACTACCGGAAAGCTACTCTATGGCCTTGAAACGCCTTGAAAGCATTGAAAAGAAAATCGCCCATAATGAAGAGTTTGGCAAAGCATAACGTGAAATCATAAAGGATTACGTAAGCAAAGGGTATGCCTGTAATCTTCAACCAGCCGAAGTAGCAGAAGTGGGTTCCAGGACATGGTACCTTCCACATTTTGCTGTGGTAAATCCGCATAAGCCAGAGAAGCTGAGATTTGTGTTCGACGCTGCAGCAACGTCACACGGAGTGTCACTGAATTCTCAACTGCTGAAGGGACCCCAGCAATATCGCCCATTGGTGTCCGTGTTATTCCACTTTCGTGAAGGCGCCGTGGCCATCTGTGCGGACATACAGAAAATGTTCCCAGAGATTTCTGTGGCGCAATGGCGATAGCCAACGAAAGCCTGACGTATATGAGATGACAGCAAAGACATTTGGTGCAGCATGCTTTCCGAGTTCAGCACTTTTTGTGAAGGTAAAGAACGCGACGGAACACGACAACTACGATCGACGTGCAGTCCAAGCCATAACGGACTATCACTATGTGGATGATTATGTTGATAGTTTCCATTCCGCTAAGAGAGCTATAGAGATAGCCACACAGGTTCGCGACATTCACAAAGACGCCAGTTTCCAGCTGCGCAAGTTCAGGTCAAATCTCTTGGAAGTCGCGATCGAATTGGGTGGTGAAAATACAGCCTTGTCCATTATCTCCAAAGAAGCCATGTAATCTGGGAAAGTCTTATGCATGTCGTGGCAACCGTCAAGTGACCATTTTACATACCGGTTTGAGTTCCATGGAATCGATTCGCAAGTTATGAGTGGCGATTTAGTGCCCACAAAGAGGATGCTACTAAGCATCGTCATGTCCATATTCGATCCCTTGGGATTCCTGTGCCACCTCACCATTACGGGCAAATTGATTTTACGCGAAATCTGGAAACTTAGTATAGGCCTGGATGAGCCCGTTCCTAGTAATATCAACGACTTGTGGAGTAATTTCCGGAGGCAGTTCCTAAAGGTTATAGAGTGCACAGTTCCACGCCACTATTTCAGGTTGGGCGAGAAAAAATCTCTACAATTGCACATATTTGTTGACGCGAGCGAAGACGCATTCGGAGACGTAGCATTTTGGAGAGCAAAGAGCCCGGACAAAACGGTGCAAGTCAGTATTGTGTACGCCAGGTCAAGAAGTGCGCCGCTCAAGACACTAATTATTCCTAGATTGGAGTTACAAGCTGCCGTATTAGGATCGCGTATGATGACAACTATAATTGAAGAGCATACGTTGCTCGTAGATCGCTGTGTCCTTTGGAGCGATTCAAGAACGGTTCTCAAGTGGATTGCAAGTGAGCATCGTCGTTACAAACCCTTTGTAGCCCATAGAGTGGCGGAAATCCTAAGTGTGTCTAAGCCGTCTGATTGGAGATGGGTGCCAACAAGAGAAAATGTCGCTGACGAAGCAACCCGGATAAAAAATTGTGTTAATCTCAACCCATCCTCACGTTGGTTCATGGGTCCAGATTTTTTATATCAGTCAGAGCACATTTGGCCCACAGACGATACACCCGTTGTGAACGCCGACGAGACCGAAGAACTTCGGCCGAAATATGCTTTCCTAATTGCCAGAAGCAGCATTTTTGAATTTAACAGATTTTCATCGTTTCTTAAACTGGGAAGAGTTGTTGCCTGGGTCCTCCGCTACATTCGTAATAGCAGATCGGAACCTGCGGAGAAGATGTCAACATATGGGTTAATGGCCACGGAGCTTGACGCCGCCGAACGACTGATATGTCGGCACGCGCAACGCGAAGCATTGGTCAATGAAGTGAATCTACTGGAGGAAGGACTAAGTCTGTCAAGTGAGAGTCCACTCTACAAACTTTCGCCGTGGCTAGATGGCGAAGTGTTCTCCGCGTACACGGCCGATTGAATGCTATCAGTTGGCTCGCTTATGATATGAAGAACCCTATAATTTTGCCATTTCATCATGTCGTATCGAGGCTCGTAGTCGCCCAAGAGCAAAAGCGAATGATGCACCAAAATACGGAGGCAACTATTTGTATGATTCGCCAGAAGTACTGGATCCCAAACTAGAGAAAGGTCATTCGTGGGGTCATGGCAAATTGCAATATGTGCAAACTAAGGAAAGCAAAGCCGTCCATACCGATGATGGTACAACTCCCAGAAGACCGCGTAACGCCATATGTGAGGCCTTTCACGTACACTGGAATGGATTATTTTGGCCCGGTGAATGTGACTGTCGGCCGAAGAACTGAGAAGCGATGGGTGGTTTTATTTACGTGTTTGACAGTGCGCGCCATTCATCTCGAGGTTGCTTACGATCTGTCGACGGATTCTTGCATATTAGTGATTCAGAACTTTATGAACCGAAGGGGTATCCCAAGAAGAATAAGATCGGATAATGGCAAGAATTTCATTGGCATAACTGGCGAGGTTAGGCGTTTTTCAGAGGTGTTCGACTGCTGTGCGTTGCAGGGTGAGCTGACATCGAAAGGCGTAGAATGGGTTTTCAACTGCCCTGAAAATCCGTCTGAAGGCAGCGCCTGGGAACGTATGGTTCAGTGAGAAGTGAGTCCCAAAGAGCATACGTTCCATAGCCTGCTGGTGGAGGCGGAATTCGTGAATTCGCGCCCACTTACGCACCTGCCGTTGGCTCCTGATCAAGAAGAGCCTTTGACGCCAAACCATTTCCTGCTGGGCAGTGCGAATACTGCGCAGACACCAAGTTGTGACGAACCCCACCAGAAGCTTTGTTACCTACGGAAGCAGTGGCGAGTGGCCAGGCAGATGCGAGATCGCTTCTGGAAAAAGTGGGTAGAAGAGTATTTACCAACGCTGACCCGGCGGACGAAGTGGCGTGCCAACGAAGCCGTTACAAGAAGGTGATCTTGTTTTAATCTGTGACAGCAAGGTACCCCGAAAGGAGTGGAGTGGCGTCGCGGCCTGGTAAAGACAGTGTATCCTGGGAAAGATGGTCAAGTTCGTCGAGCCGACGTGTCGACTTCGTGTGGAACGATCCAACGACCTGCGTCCAATTTTGCCAAGCTGGATGTAGTTTGTAGTGAATCGGGGTCAATTCACGGGGGCGGGGATGTCATAGTTTAGCGAAATATTAATGTAATTCTGGTAACTCTGTAATAGTTTAAGCTTTTTGTAACTGAATAAAATTGCAGCTCTGTGTTCCATTCCCGGTTTTCTATTTATTGATCCGATAATCGAATTGTCATATAAATTCAGGCAACGGTTCTGGTCGATCATATTATTTATATCACCAAGGCAAACCGGGAGTGAAAAATACTGTAAATTAAACTTGTATATTTGGCGGTATATTTTTTTAATATCAATTCAATTTCAATTAAAATACATACATTTCAGAAAGATGAGCATTAAGTCATTTTGAACAACGGGGCCAGTATGTAATACATCGTTGAGTGAGAGGCTGGAAAGCGAGGCTTTTGAGGCATTGAAAACTACTCGGACTTTAGTAGTTTTACATCCGGGCTTCATCTCCGCGTGATGGGGTAGGTAAAAGGTGAAATATTTACCGTCGCATGTTATTTCTGTTGGATCCTAATAAATGCATCCCTGAACGATATTGACGGCAATACTGACTGGACGAAGCTTGGGTGACGGACATAAAATAACGGATAAAGGAACATTGATACAAAAGTTCAGTTTAATTTGAAGTGTTGAAGGGTCGAGTAGAGTTTTTAAAGAAGTCTGTAAAGTTATATTAAAGAAAAATGGTAAGTAAATATATGATAAAATAAATATTAAATGAATTTTATGCAAATATATATGTTTTAATTGCAAATGGCGTAAAAGTGTATTTTGAAGAATTTAATTGACTGTGAACCCTACAAATGGTGTCAGAAGTGATTAAAAATGCATAAAAGTACTTTGTAAAGACATAGTATATGTATGTATAAATATGTACCGTACATATAAACTGAAAAGCGGTGCGAAATTCATAAGAAGGGCAGAGAAGCCCTACCGCTCCGAGTGAACTACGGAAAATTCTAAATATAACATGAACAGTTATGTAAAAAAAAAGAAGAAAATCGAATCATAAGAAAGGCAGCGAAGTCCTAGCGCTCCGAGCGAAGAGATCAAAGTGTGGTGAGAAAAATACAACGATTGGTCGTGTAGATATGTATGTAAAATACGCGGCGAAGTCACAAAGGAAACACGAAGCAAAGGCGACAATAAGAGAAAGAGAATAATAGATAAGTGCCAAGAAGGCAGTGAAGTAACAGTAGCAGCAAAGTGGTGAAAAAGTAATGAGTGAATTCTGTCGTGTTAAGATGGTAGTATTTTGCACGACAGAGTACTAAGCAGACGAGAGGAACAGCAAATGATCATCGAAGAAGTGCAACACATTGCGGATCATTATTTAATATTGAAAACAGTTTTATAAAGCTAAGTCGTAGTAGTTTTCTGTAAAAGTTTTTGAAAAGAATTTGAAATTAATTTATAATTCTTAATTAATTTTTTAACTAAATTTTAGTTATTGCTTGTTCATATTGTATTTCAAATAATTAAGGATATTATTAAAATGGATAGAGCAACAATTTTGAGACTAAGCAAGGTTGAACTACAGGATGAGTTAGCGAAGTTAGGACTTCATACTGTTGGACTTAAAAATGACTTACAAAATAGATTATTGGAACACTTAGTGTAAACTGCTCAAGAATCTATTTAAAATACAGTAAATGAACCAAGAGCTATATTCACGCTAAGGGATATAGAAGATTGTCTTGTTTCATTTACTGGGAGTGGTCAGCCGACTGTGGAAAATTGGTTAGAGAATTTCGAAGAAAATTCGAGGGCTGTAAACTAGAATAATTTGCAGAAATTTATTTATTCCAAGCAGTCGCTCAAAAGTGCTGCAAAGTTTTTTATTCGAAGCCAGCTCGGTATTACAAACTGGGAAGTACTTAAAATCGCACTTTTTGATGAGTTTGGGGTTCAGTTTTCTGCGATTGAAGTACATCGTCAACTAAGAAATCGCTGTAAGAGAGAGGGGGAAGATATGAGAGAACATTTGTACTCATTGATGGAAATAGGAAAGCCTGTGAAACTTGATTAAAAAAGTTTAGTTGAGTACTTTATTGAAGGGATACCCGATACAAGAATAGGCAAGTGTAATATTTACCAGGCCAAAACAGTACGCGGTTTAAAAGAGCAGATAGAAATTTATGAAAAGATTAAAATACCAGCCCAGCCTAGGAAGCCAACCACGGGAACGAATGTAGGAACAAGAGCAACTACAGCCTTATTCAGCGAAACAGCGGCACCCAAAAAATGTTTTACTTGTGGTGAATCTTCTCATTTGGCAAAAAATTGCCCACAAAATTTGAGATCTTTTAAATGTAACCATTAGGACACCGCGCTGCAAAATGTTCAAGAGGAAATCCACTCATTAAAGTGGAAAAAAGCAATGTGAACGCAATGGGTAACAAAGAGATGCAATAGTCGGGTATAGGAAACAATCTAGCCTTTAAACATATTGCACTAAATGGTTATATATTTCCGACTCTTTTTGATACAGGTTGTGAAGTATGCCTTATAAGAAGCGATATCTTACACATGATAGGAAATAAAGAATTAAACAAAGATAAGCGACAGTTAGTTGGTATTGGAGAAAGCGAGCTTACTACGCTTGGAAGCTTTTCGCATAATATATACGTAGACAATATAGAAATAGAGATAACTTTTCATGTAACACACGAAAAAGATATTCGTTTTACCGCAGTATTTGGTAGTTGTGTGTTAAACCAGGTTGACTTATTTGTAACTAAGGACGACGTTCAGTTTCGTCGTAAAGATAAGGAGTTGACTTTAGCTGAAACTTCCACACCAGTCAACCTAGGTACATGAAATGTCGAGAAGGTCAGCTCAGAAAATAAAGCTTACGGGTTGTTTGAAGAATTTAAGGATATTTGTATGATGGCTGGAACAGAAGTAGGAAAAAAAACAGGAAATAGAGTTATCACATCTAAATCACAATTTGGCAGCCGAGTTACTCATGTTGGGGATGAATATAATCCAATTAAGGCTGATGGTGGTGTAATTACGTATATGGACGATCTAATAATTCCTGCTAATGATGAGATAGAAGATACAGAAAAGCTGGAGCATTTATGAGAAGTGGCTACAAAGAACAATTTACGCATAAAGTCAGTTTTTGCGACGGAAAGTTACTTTTTTGGGCTACGTAATAGAAAATGGTATTCGGAGAGGAAAATTATTGTAGTAAAGAACTTTCCTTTACAACGTTTTCTTGGTCTCACATCCTACTTTAGAAGATTTGTTGAAGAGTATGCAGTAGTAGCTAAACCACTGTCGGACCTTTTACGCAAGGATAAACAAATTGTATTGCAGGAACAGCAGTTGGCATCTTTTCAGCAATTGAAGAGGGCTCTGGTTAGTGCCCCTGTACTAAATTTATACAATCCAAAGGCGATATGGATATGAATATGGAGCTGTACTTCTGCAGAAAAACGTTGACGACCAAGAGCTTTATCCTATTCAGTGAGTAGAAAAACTAAGCCAAATGAAGAGTTGTTTCACTCCTACGAGTTCGAGGCGTTAGCGGTAGTAGATTCTGTTAAGAAGTGGAGAATTTATTATATTTAACTGATTGTAATACGTTTGAATTACCATTGCGCAAACGGGAGGTTCCACAAGGATCTCTCGTTGGGCGTTATTTCTGCAGGATTATGATTACAGTATTGACCATCGTAGCGGAAATAGAATGAGACATGAGAATGAGATGCACTAAACCAAATTTCATGTCTAATGTTGGAAGACACTTTTAGTCATCGACCTAAGCAAGCTCAGCTTTGAGGCGACTTGATAAAGGCGGTCAGAAAAGCGCTAGAGTCCGGGCAATATGAAGACTTTTAC